TATATATATATATAAGGAATATATAATTTAAGCGCGTATATATATATGTATATATATATATATATATGGCTATCTCAATTTCGTTTTAAATTAACATTTACTACTTAGGTAGTAGTGTGAAGTAAATGAACAGAAACGTAATTTTGCTTGATAAATATTAAATTTATGAGTAGCCTCTTTGACGCGAGAATACGTGTGGGTAATACATCCTTGAGATAAAGGGTCCATATTCTGAACTCACTTTTATCGTGCCTTAAATGTGACTCCTCAGCCACTCAGGTGAGCCGCTTTTTATCGATAAAAGAGATACTCAGAATACGGAGCTTAATATGTTTCCTTGAATGAAAAAGTCAGCCATTCTGCTTACGTTCTTCCGTCAACGCAAATCGTTCTTCAATTCTCCAGGAAATCTAAAGGCGCATGTACTCCGAGTGCACAACGTGCCGGAAGGTGAGCCCACGTACGCGTGCTCTTATTGTTCGTGCGTTTTCAAGAAACTCGGCAGCCTGAACGGGCACATAAAGCGAATGCATTCTGATTCCACGGAGGTACGGTGATCATTCCGATATTATGCAACTTAATACGAACTTTCGAACGTAAGCCGAGAACTAGCACGCTTGTTTAGGAACCCGAGTCTTCGAATATCTCGTCCGAAGCTGACATGCGTGCGACGGTGGACAGCGTAATCTCGCAATTGGCGTCTCTGGAATCCGCCGTGAATAACACCGCTGTTTCCACGGGAACGTTAAACGCGGGGCAAAGCGATATCCTGCAGCAGGCCTTGAAGAACAGCGGCCTGCCGAACAAAAATGAAGTCACCTCGAAAGGTAATTTTTTCTTTTTAAATTACGCCGTTTGCGTTATATACACGTGTTGTGAATTAATTGTGCAACATTTAAATATTATCGCTTGGAATGATAAGATAAACGTTTTCTCCCGCAGAAAGCACGGAGCCGAAGAAAATGGACTCCCGTACGACGTACGTCACATTACTAGACAAAGCCGCCGGCGGTACTATGAGGTAAGATCTCTTGCGTGGAAAAGTAAGCTGCGACGGAAAGAGTAATTTGCAGATACGCGAGAAAGTACTCGAAGCATAATCTTACGTTCGCAGGAAGTATCTTACCATAAAGCAACACTGCGTAGGGAACGTGCGGTGGTACGCGTGCTCGTTCTGCCCGAAGGAATTCAAAAAGCCATCGGATCTGATACGTCATCTGCGCGTTCACACGCAGGAAAAGCCCTTCAAGGTAGAAAGCTCGAAGCGGGTCCGTCGTTGATCAGAGTTGTAAAGTATTATTCTATGTTTCTCAGTGCATGTACTGCGTTCGTTCCTTTGCACTCAAGTCGACGATGATAGCGCACGAGAGGACGCATACCGGAGTGAAGAAGTACGCCTGCAGCTCCTGCGACAAGACGTTCGCGTGCCACAGCAGTCTCACCGCTCACACCAGGTGAGTCTTTTCTCAAACACGCACAGTGGGGCGAAATTTGTGGGCAAATTTTGCCAACTTCAGAAGAACATATACTTTTAATTTAAGTCAACGTGAACAAAATAGTCCTTAACCAGTTTGCGAATAATCATGCAAATTTCTGAATTAAAGAAGCCTATAATTCTTTTTTCCAACAATTAATAAAGTTCCGCATGGTTGTTTGCAAAATGATGGAGGACCTTTTTGTTCATACTGACCTTTTATTTCTAAAAATTGTTAAACTTAACTTTTAGACTTAACGTGTCAAGATCTTTTAAAATCATACTTAAGAATCGGTCACGTTTTGAATGTTTCGCTCTACTGTGCGGCGTCGTGGGCGTTTAAGTAAAACACCGTGTCTCTCTCAGACTGCACACGAAACCGCACAAGTGCGGCATATGCGACAAGTCGTTCAGCGCGAGCACCATTTTGAAGACTCACATGAAGAGTCACACGCGAGAGAAGCCGTCCAAAATATCGTCCGAGGCGGAGAGCCTCGTGCCGGAGGTGGTCCTGCAGGAGCCGCTCGTCATCAGCGACGCCGGGAACAAGATAAGCGTGATGCAGGTGCAGTCGAAGCAGAAGCAGGTGTACGATGGCAACAGTGTGGCGCGGCCGCACAAGTGCTGGGTGTGCCAGGCGGCATTCAGGAAGATCAGCCATTTGAAGCAGCATTATCGCAGGCACACGGGCGAACGACCGTACAAATGCCTCAAGTGCGACAGGTATAAGTCGTTGAAGAGCCGATATCGTCTAGAATCGGATTGATCGAGAAGTTCGTGTTTCTTATTCATACGCACGTGACCGAATTCGCTAGTGAACCGTATTCGAGCCTGCTCTGACACGCAGTACATACGCATTAGGATGTTCAAATCGGATTTATAATCCATATTAACTGATCAACTATCTGACTATTGTTATAATCAACGATCTATCGTGAAATGACGTTAGGTTCTGTGTTGAAGGAAAGGAAGGATTTACCTATTTATGTATACGTGTAAGAGCATGATTAAGGGGCGAATTTCTCGATTAATCCATTTGTCACTGCCTCTATTTATTTTATCTACTTATCACTACCAGCCTTTATTTATTTTGTCTATTTGCTACCTACTTCTGATCTTTTTTTTTCTTTTTAATGTATAATTTACGTCGATAAAAGTTATTCGCTTTCCAGAAGGTTCACGTCCAACAGCGTCCTCAAATCTCACTTGCATACGCACGATGACTTGAGGCCGTACAGTTGCTCGGTGTGCAACACGAAATTTTCCACGCAGAGCAGCATGAAGAGACACTTGGTCACGCATAGCAATAAAAGGCCGTTTATGTGTCCGTACTGCCACAAAACGTTTAAGACGTACGTCAATTGTCGGAAGCACATGAAAATACATAAGCACGAGCTGGCGCAACGGGTCGGTATATCTAATCTTTAGAATCTGTAAACGATGAAACGATGCTAAAATTCGTGTATGCACGCACAGCAATTGGAGGAACAAAAGACGCAAGAACAGAACGCACCTTTGAACACGGAGAAAAGCAGCATTCCAGCATTACCTGAAAGTATCACTCTCACCGAGGACATGGAGGTGTCGTTTCAGCCGCAAATGGCGCCAGATTTCACGCAGGCCTTCTCCGATCAGTTTCAGAACATCGGCTCGGAGAAGGAGAAGTCGTTCTTGCTGACGGACAGCGCGACGCCGTCTATCGCAAATCGTAAGGTTTTTCTCAAGGATACGACAAGACAGGAAAGACAGATGATAGTGTACGTATATATGGTGTTTCAGAAAGGACGCCTGGCTATGTGTAACCATGTACATTACAACGCACAGCCTTAATTCGTCAACTGAATGTTTTACGCATTATGTTTATACGGACCTTTTTGCTTGCATTGATATATCCTACACATATAGCCAGCACACCTTTTTTGAAACATTTTATATACAGAATGTCTGACGCAAACCGCCCCATATACTTGTAGTTCAGATCAACTACTATCCAAGTAGAGCGAGTCCTCTACTATTTTGCAAATAGCTACGTAAAATTTTAAGTTATTAATTTTCGAAAATAACGATGTATAGAGGTTCTTTGACTAATAACTCAAAAATTTGCATATTTATTTACAAAGTGATACACGGGACTTTTTTTTGTTCAGAATGGCCTAATCTACAAGTATACGGTGGCTGTTGTATCTAACGATAGGTTCAATATTCGAAGTTCAAGATATCGATATATATAACAGCTGTCGTAGATTAAGTCATTCTGAATAAAAACTAATAAAAAAGTTCTTTATCATTTTGCAAATAATCACGCAACTTTTTGACTTGTTAAAGAAATCTATAGATGGCCGTTTTTAATCATTCATAACTCGAAATTTTGCGTGATTATTTGCAAAATGGTAGAAGGCAGACTTTTGTTTGTATTGTCTTAAATTAGAAGTATATGGCGGATAATATAGAAATTAATACATTTTTTGTATATTTTAAATAATTTATTATATATAACATATATACGTTTGTATGTGATCACGTATTGCAGAAAATCTGTCGGTCGACGCGACTAATTTAGGATCGTCGCAAACTCTGCATGCCGACGAAACTGGCACTATTACGTTACCTCATTACTCAGGGGATCAAACGCTCACGCCGGTACACAATTTCAATATTCGTTTTGTGTTCTTCATTGAGATATATTTCATTTATATAAACGTATAGCTAGCAATCAAGGGACAACAGAGATAACTTTCACGGAATCTTGTAGGAAAGTATACGAGAGATCGAAGAGACTCTGAACCAGCAACTGTTCAATATCGGCGTGAACCTCGGTCTGACGAACAATCTGCCGAGGCAGATGGACGAGGCGAACGCGAATTCTCTCGACAGTTCGAGGGAGCAGCCGGTACTTAATATAATATACGAGCACAACAAGGGCTTGGAATCATCTGGCAATGCGATATTCACGTCGCAATTCGACTCGTTCGACATGAGCCAAATTGCATTACAGGTATAAAGTCCCCCTCCCCCCCCCCTAAATATGGTGCGATTTCGGGACAGCGCGAAGGCATCTCGACGCTCAGCCATTATTTCGAAATTATAAAGCGCCGTTTTGATTTTTTCAGACGGACAACGATATAGACATCGGTCTGAGCGTGAGCAACTCCACGAGTATGTCCAATATTTTGCCACGATCCGTGGATGGAAACGACGGACAGCAAGCGGAGGAGCAACGAACCACGCCAATCACCACTGCCAGCGACATGGACGCGTCTCTTATTACTAGGAATACTCATCTGATGATCATCAATCCTAAGGAAAACTGCTCAGAATTGGTGAAGCTGTCGCAAGTAGGCCCGAGATACTCGAAAATCATCGCGAAAGCGGACACCACGAACGGGTCGGAGGTGCAGGGCGTGAACGGGCTTGCGAAAACGTCACAAGAAAATAATGCTTTATCGTGCGATAGCGAGAGGAGCATTCTATCATTCGCGTAAGCTTCTTCTTTTTTTGCTATGCGAAAAAAAAGTGTTACACAAGGTGTTGCATCAACATATGATCCATTACGACAGGTTGCCTAACCGTTCGCGAATCCGTTGAAATTATGATGATTAGGAGCGACCTAACTTCGTTGAAAAGATATGACAATATCTACAAATCCGAAATTATCATCCGGACACGCGCGGGCAGGCGACCCTTCGTAATGGATCATATGCGACACCCTGTACAGTGATGGACGGAAATATCGATTTTTTTTTTGTGAATTTCACAACACATCTCGTATCCAATGGGAGAATGTGTTTCCCGAGGATACGTTGAAAAATTCATTAAAAAAAAGTGCAACAACCTTATTGTTCACCACTATATCAACGGAGTATCGCAACTTTCGGTCGATTTTCGCAGTCGACGCTCATTGTGCGTCTCTTCGTTCGCATCAACTGCGAAAACGGAGCAAAAGTTGCAAATATTTAGCAACTGGCGCTATACCATTGAGCGGTTATAAGATACGCGCAATACTTGCAGGAAAAGTTTTCAAGGTACAATACAGACGGACTCGTTTATTTCTTCCGGTATGGACACGACGATATCGGAATGCGCTAACCTGTTGCAGTGTCACATGTGCGGCAATCAAGGTTTCACAACCGAAGGGTTAAAGGTATGGTTTGAATATTGAAGTTTTCATGCGATAACAAAGATTAAAACGGTGCAATTAAAGTTTTAGTCGTGCGACAGTAAAAATTTGAACGACGCAATTATAGTGTTTATGTGGAAATTTAATAAATAATAATAATTGAATAATGATTTGAAATTTAACAAAAGATGCATTTTCAATTAGTAAGATATATAGAGAAAGCTCTCTGTTAAGATATTCAATCAGAAGTAATCAAGGGCAGATAAGAGAGAAATATAATGATCAAAGTTAAAGTGATTATATTAAAAACCTGAATGATAATGCAATCGATTATTTCCAAAAAGGTTTCTCCTCTTGGTAAAGAATCCCCTTCTGGGATATGTATTGCCAAGACGCAAGATACATTTTGCTACTACGTATCTTGATGCAAAAAGTATCTAACTAAGCTCAAAAGCAGAAACTCGCAAAACTGATATGATACACGATAAAATTGTGATCCTTACAGGAACACCTGAAGTCTCATCGCGGCGAGAAGGAATATCAGTGCTCGGTGTGCCTTCAGCGGTTCTGCACGAACAGTGGTCTCAGCAGGCACATGAGGACGCACGTGAATAAGTAAGTAAAAATAATCAATAAAAATAAAGGGAAATTGTTCTATCTTTATTAAGTTACTCTTCCGACTTCGTACACAGACTGTGGAAATGCACGACGTGTCACAAGGTCTTGGACAGCAAACAGCAATTGAAGTTACATAATAAGATACACACTGACACGTGGAACGTCTCGTCCATGGAGCCGGACAGTTCCCAGAAGGAGCCGATCTCTTCGAATACCGCTCTTCCCTCGATAACGACGCTCGATGTCCGAATCGATGCGGACTCGTCCGTATCCGAGAAAGTCTTGCTCGACACGGTTGCCGAGAAGAAAATCATGGAATGCATAGATGTGAGTGCACGCGAATTTCTGCGTCGGTTCGTAAAGATTCACGCCAGTCAAACTGGCTTACGTAACGACATTCAACGTTCCAGGAGAACATGGAGAAAAAAGAAAAGCGAGAGTACACGAATAAATGCAAGTACTGCCCGAAGACTTTCCGTAAACCAAGTGACCTGATCAGACATATTCGCACGCATACGGGTGAACGGCCGTTCAAGTGCGACCACTGCAGTAAGAGCTTCGCGGTCAAGTGCACGTTGGACTCGCATATGAAGGTCCATACGGGCAAGAAGACGTTCCGTTGTCACGTCTGCAGCAGTTTGTTCGCTACGAAGGGCAGCTTAAAGGTCCACATGAGACTGCATACCGGTAATTCATTGGAATTATTTCGCATATAGTGCTATCAATAACCTAATAGAATGTTACTCGGGATAATTAAAAAAGTGTACGGTTTATTTCAGGCGTATATAAATATTATATATATATAGCGTAAACGATTTCTAACTGAAGTATGTTATAGTATCTTATTATATATTCTCTCGAATACACCTCAAACTCGCGGATATCGAAAACTTACCCAGATTATATTGGTAACACTACCAATCATGTCGTTATTTACGCAACAAATCCTATAATAAGCGTAGTAAACCTTCAACTCTAAGCAATCAAATATATTTCCAAATGTTACAATTTAGTGTAACCCCCCCATTGCAGAAGAAGGAAGGAGCTTGCGTTGACTTGTAACCCTGTTTCAGGCTCGAAACCGTTCAAGTGTCCCATGTGCGATTTGCGCTTCCGCACGTCGGGCCACAAGAAGGTGCACATGCTGAAGCACGTGCGTGAGCACAAAGGTGGCGCGAAACGTAAACCGAAACACCTGAAGGTCGCTGCGGTGGCGGAGGCGGCGGCTAGCCTGGAGAACGTGGACAATTCTCTGGAACATACAACGACGACGACGATGACGACCACCGTGATAAGCGACGACGAAACGGCGGCGGTTGTGCAGCAGAGCCACATGGGCTACCCCGCGTTGGACACGTCGGTGAGCCTCGACGGCGCGGTGCTGCCGAGTCAAATCACGTTCAATAATTCGACGGACCCGACGACGATACTCAACAACAACGCAATGCTGTCCGTGAACGAGAGCAACGAACTGGTGGCGAATCTGCAATTTCTGCTGGCGAACGGCCTCGTCACCATTCAAACGGACGACTCGCTGCTGACGACGCAGCCGGCAGGTGACTCCGTGCCGGCGAACGTGATCGAGCTGGTCAATTCTTTCCCGGAAACCTGCGACCTGAACAATCACGTGGTGATAACCAGCCCGACGAGCTCCGACGCAGTCGTCCGGATGAACGACTGCGTGCAAGCAGACGGCGGCATGTCCAAGCCGGCCGGTGATCCCGCGAAATCGGCGGCCCAGTCGCGTAAGGAATGCGACGTCTGCGGCAAGACGTTCACCAAGCCGTGCCAAGTGGAGCGGCACAAGCGGATACACACCGGCGAACGGCCGTACAAATGCGAGCTCTGCGGCAAGTCGTTCGCCCAAAAGTTCTCGCTGCAGCTGCACCAAAAGCACCACACCGGCGACCGGCCGTACCGCTGCCCGCACTGCACGCACTCGTTCACGCAGAAGTGTAACCTGCAGACGCACCTGAAGCGCGTCCACCAGCTCGTGATACTCGACATCAAGAAGCTGAGGAGCGGCCAGCAGGTGTTGGGCGCCCTCCTACAGGATAATCAGGGTGACGCGAAGCTAGTGAGTTTAGACGACATACTGGTGGTCGACCTTGTCAAGTGAATGCTAACGAGAGAGAAAGAGAGAGAGAGAGAGAGAGGTGTTCTTCTCGAAGAAGAAAGCAGCTTCCCGTAGTGGGGCTGTGATAATAATCTAGGCCGGTATTCGTTGGCGGATTTTTAGATCGTCTCAAGTTTACCTTCGAATGCTGTAAGAACCGCCGATTGAGATTTTCCGCTGAACGACGCTTCTCTAACGTGTTTGCCATTTTTTTTCAGTCAGCATACTTTTCATACGTTCGGTAAACGTGGCGAAGAAGTTTAGAATTGATCGGTCGCATTGATTGACCAATTCTGAGCTGAGCCGATCGTAAGTTAGTGAAGAATACCGTTTCTACCATCATGGTTCAAATCTGATGACGGTTAACTCGATGGAATTGTCTTATTGCATTAATCAATTCAGCTAAATTAATTAACCAATACTATCGATCGATCGGTAGAAACGAGTATAAGCTGCTTTCTCGGTTGAGCACGAGACCGCACTGTTGCTCATAAGACGGTATCCGAGATAGACAGATCTTGTATTTAAGATCGCACAACACCTGAAAACAAACTTGAGACGATCTTGCATACGAGACTATGAATTATGAATCACATAATGCGCTCACGATGTAAATGAGAAAAGGGTGTCTCTCGAGCGCATCGAATGCGCCGACGAGATGTATGTATATTCTGCGTATCGATGTGCGACGCTATTAGGATAATTTACTTTGTACCCGAGGCGTAATTTAATACTAGTTGACTATTGTTATTACATATTTCGTACGTGTCGAATCGATGCGGACTGTGCGTATCGAACTTCGGTGCGTTCTTTTTACTTCAACGCTGACACGCAAATTATTTAAAATAAAAAGAGAAAAAACGCGTTGTTACATTATCGTCCCGAATCTATAATCTCTGAAGGAACTCTGTGCTGGAAATCGCAGTCGACCTCGGGGCAGCCGTCGGGGTGGTTCTCGTAGAACCAGCAAGGCTTCACTTTGCTCACGCCGTTCCTCCTCCTCTTCCTCCTCCCCCCGGTAACGCCCGGAATCCGGAACTGCACCTTCCCCTGCGCCACGCAAAAGATGTGACTGTGGTTCCTCAGCAAAGTCTGCAGGCCACCGCACTCGTTCCGCAGTTGCCGCAACATCTCGGGCGCTATCAGCTTCGCCACCTCGCCGATGCTGATCTGCCGGCCGGCGTTCCAGGTCCTGCCGGGTCTCCGCTCCAGCGGTATCCTGCGCTCCGTGCGCAGCAGGTGCGCCGCCACCACGCTGACGATGTTCAGGACCAGTCCCTTGTCCAGCTGCGTACAATTTCGCGTCCGTTCCGTCGGGCTGCGCGGCCTGAAGCTCGCAGACCACAGATCGCCGGCGTCTTCTTCCTGAGACGTTGCCGATCGCGCGTTTATAATCCTCTTGATGTCAGCGTCCAACGCCACGCTGTCCTCCTTCGCGCAGCTCCTTCGCCATCCAACGAAGCACGTGCGCTTGGTCGACGGGATCCGCAGCCTGTCCACCTGCGTGAGGAAGCCGCAAGTCTCGCACACGCTCTTAACGTAGGACATGTACTCCGAGTATTGGCTCTCGGCGGTGTTGCACCTCCGGTATTTCCTGCCGTCGAACTCGTAGGCGCAACAGGGCAGCAGGAAGAACCGGCACTCGTAGGAACTGCGCGCGGCGATCACGGGGATCCACGGGGTGAGTTCGTCCGAGTGATTGCCTATGATCCAGTCCACGCCGGGGAAGACGGTGTCGGAGGACGGGACGATCGTGCTGACCTGATACGAAGGATCCTTGGATTTCTCCGTGAAATTATATATGGAGAGGAATGAATCTCAGTTCCCGCAACTGTATATACGGCAATGGAAATTTAACACAAACGGTCTGCTCAAATTTTTTCTGAATATGTTAATACAAATGGCAGTTTTCGTCGGTCACTACTAAGAACATTCAGCTGTATTGAAATTCGGTTGGGATAACTGAGACTTGACTGAAACCTCAGGAGTCTCTCTGTAAAACCGAGTTTTGAATGTTGCAGGAACCGAATTTTTTCTGTGTACTAAGATAAACATCGAAGATATTGTTAAGTATTACAACAGTCTACGTGTCGATCGAGAGAAATTGCCCGTAAGATGATTCTTCCGACACTTTTATTCGATGGAATGAAGATTAAAAGTTACGAATCGCTCGACAGATTGATCTTATCTGTCACACAAGCTTCCTTCAGCTTGTCTCAAGATCGAAGGACTGGCGTTAACACTTGAATCTCTCTCAGAACGGTAATTATAGCGAAAGAATTTTGCACATACTTGCAAGCGAGTGCTCTCTGGGAACAGGTCCCAGATCTTCCTTTTGCGCAAATCGATCCCCATTCCCGTGTGACCCTCGTTAGACAGGATGTAGACGAGAAGACCGTTTCCACAACCGAGATCCACGAACGACTGCAACTCCTGCGTATCCATCTCCGATCTCTCCTTTTCCCACAACAGTAACAGATAGGTCGCGATCGCTACGTCCTCGTAAACGAACTTGGCCGGGTCGGTGTTCTCCGGCCACACCTTCACCATTTCGGTGCCGTACTTCTCCTTCAGCCGATTGTAGAGCAAGGTGTACTTCTCGGCGGAAACGAGGCTGAGAGAATTGATCTTCGGTCTGCCGACGTTCTCGCTCAACATCCACTTGATCAGACGCGGTAAGAGCCTGGATCTGAGCCAATCGCGGCTTTTGTCGCAATCCTCCGAACGGTGTATATTGATACACGTGGATCCGTACTCGCGGTGCTGCACACTGTAGGCTGCACTTGGACCTAGAGACTGTTTGCCTTGAACAAGCCGTTTATGAAAGCTAGCTAAGCTTACGGATCTCTTGTCGACGAGCGTAAATTCCAGCGTCGGTGAAAACAACTGCGTATTCCGGGGTATCAGCTTCTTCACGTACAAGTAAACCTTATCATCGCTCAGCGCCTCAATCGGATTCAAACTCTCCGATGACTGGCAGTATTCTGCGATATTTAATTTTTCTAATAAATATTTTTCGCCTCCCGTGGATAAATCCAAGTCGTCTGGTTGTATTTGCAATTCGAGAGTACGTTCAAATATATCCGAAATGCCGCAATTGACTTCAGTCGCTAACAACTCTTGAGACGCCAGGATTCTGCGGTTTATAACGTGAGGATTCCTCATCCAGATGGAAATGGCTTGCCAAAACTGCGAGGCGCTGCTGTTGGTGCTCTCATTAGCAATCCGTTCAAAGTTCATTTTTCTATCTAACATATATAATTTTTGTGTATCAGTTTATCATTTGGGCGCTGGGGTAGCACCCGATGGTTGACTGTACTATTGAACAGAGAGAAATGATGAACTGAAAGATTGTCAAACACCTAACGTATTAGTGTATACAAGTCGAAAAATACCTTCTGTATCACCCACTTGGCATCTAACAGTGCACGCTCCATAATCTGTTGCACACGTTCCTCGTCAGCCTCCGAAGCATGCTGTTTGAAACTCTGAAAAAGGTTCGTCAACGATTGGGAATTTAACGGTAGTGAAGATATTTTATATACGACGACTATTAAATTCATCGATCAAACATTCTCAATCACACAAGGAACGGGTTGAGTAACCTCTGCATCTGCTGGAACTAAGTTATTCCTCAAGGTAGAGGAAGAACAAGAAAACAAGGACCCCGCATACAATCAGGTTATTAATATTTGGATGAGAATACTTTGCACATACTTGTTTGACGGAATGTTTGTAGTATTGCTGCGTATGTTTCGGCAGCTTCTCGCATTCGCGCAATAAATATTTGTACAGTTGTTTAGGCGAATTCACTGTCGTACCGCCGAGCACTCGATTCGCCATCGTTCACCCGCGAGGAATGCGGAAGTTGTCTTTTCCTAATCTATCATTATTTCCGACACGTGGAATAGTAGTTCTCCCGAAATATCCACCCTCGATAAAACAGAAAGCCAACTACTGCCTCGGCTACATTATTAATAAAAATCGTATTAATATGTGCAAACATTTTTAACGATATTATTAGCAAAATATAAGATACGATATAAATATTCATTACAAATATTAGATACAAAAGTAATCAGTGAAGATACTGCAAAAATTGAGATGACAAGAAATTTCACAAAATATAGGAAAAAAAAGTTTAGATTGCTGAAAATATTATTGCTAGTTCCGGACTTAAGATATCACAAATGACAGAGGTCGATTCTCGGTATATTTGATGAATAAATATTTATATACAATTTATTTTTGATGCGCCTTCATAGAAACAAAGTGTTACAGCAAGTTAAGTCTATACATATTATGCGGTTTTGAATCTTATCTGCAGTCTTATTCATACAATTCCGTATGCGACATACAGTAGAGAACCTCCAGAAGACATTTTTCTTTTTCCTCCGGTAAGATCACAGCGTGTTTTTTTTTTCTTTTTCTACCAACTCTGAGTACGAACCTGGATCGTTGAGAGTGAACGTCGGGTTCTGTTCGCGCGTCTCTACTACTCTTCGCTAGAATTTCGTTCGAGAGTTTGATATTTTCTCCCCTATATATCATTACTGCTATCGCGTTCGTACAAACACTACATCACATAAGTTTATATAAAAAAAAAAAAAAACACGTCATACGAAATATCATCGCTCCGTTTATCGGTCGTTTTACAATATTATACGTATATAAATCTTCCGTGTATACGTGTGATGTCACTAGGTTTGCGAGAATAGCGATTAAAGCCTAACTTTTACTTCTACTAAAATACCGATGTACATATATATGTATATATATCAAAGAGATATTAAAAAATAAATATATTTATATATATGCACGTCGTGTCGCAACAAGTAAAAAATATACAATTGTTATATACGCCACGTGTGGTCGTGGAAGGGCGCAATGGCTCCGCTTAATTACCTTCAATGGAGAAGGAGGGGGGGGGGGGGCAGTAAAANAAGAACCGATCTTACCGCGACAATTAAAACAGATATTACGTACAAAAATCACAACCAGCGAGTAGCCAATTACATGCTAGTAACAAAAATAATGATTAATACGATTAATATTACAATAAATTATGCCGGGTGGGCGTCTTCAGGAATTTTTTTTACGGGCGGCGCTCGCTCCGTCTGTCAGAACGTTTTTCATCTGCCGTGTGATTCGTCTAACGTTCATCAGTCACGTAGCTTTCGGACATATATTCGTAAATCGTCGCGTAATCCTCGAGTCGCTTCCGTTAGGCTGCTGAGTCATTAGTGCCGGCACTGTGTGAGATATTGCAAACAACTTCGTATCCTCGGGCGTTGTTAGGCAGTTCGTTAGATCGCACGCGTAAAACGTGCAGAAAACCGTGTAAAACGAAGGCTTCGCGCGACTCGCCGAGGTAAAGAGCGTTGCGCGCGCGCGCGAGAGTTGTTACTCTAACTTGATTGTGCGTGAGGTATCTACCGGTGGAACTCGTCAATGCCGTTCTACAATAGCGTGATAGTGAATGTTCTACGACATGATTAATCTACAGATGGGGTAAAGATACGTCGTCCAATCAGAATGCATCATAATAGTCTGACTGATTGCCTTATTATAGATTTTTTACAACCGATGGTTTATATGTTGTAGAACGGCCTTAAGAGTCCGGTGTCAAGACGCTTTTTCCCGGTCGTTCGCGCCGCGAAACAATCTGCTGCCCGCTCGTCTAAAATCTAAATAACAAAATACTAGAGCTGCTCTCTCTCTCTCTTTTCTACCTGTCAGGATAATCGTCAACGAGAAAACGTAACGTAATCGAATACGTCATGCTTGCGATTCTGACAGTGGCGGACAGCGACCGCCTGTGATCACAGAGGGATTCTAGAGAAGTTTATATAGTCTATCACGTTAGGATATCTCGGTTTAAGTCTCGCTCGAAGACGATCGTCCCCAGCAGCACAACCATCTACGCCACAGCGGGGGCGGCTTCCTACGCCGGTATAATAAGCTAGCACCGCCGCGCCTCGTATTGAGGGCACTGACTATCGCTTGGTCGAAAGCCTCCTTGAGGTCGTGTTGCGTCAACGCGGACGTCTCCACGTAATTCACGGCGCCTAGCCTTTGCGCCAGCTGGTGACCCTGGATAGTGGTGATCGGCGCCTGGCCGTATCTGGCAAGTTGCAGCATTAGACGCACGTCCGATCTCAGGTCGCATTTAGTTCCTACCTGAAATTTCAATCAGACGTGGTAACAATCATATGACATTATTGTGATATAATCTCAGATCGTGAAATATAATTGAACCTAACCAAAATGATCGGAGCATTCGGGCAGTATTTCCGCACTTCGTTAATCCACCTGGAAGCCACACTGTGATAGGACGAGGGACACACGACGCTGAAGCAAACTAGAAACACATCCGTCTCAGGATAGCACAAGGACCGCAACGGATCAAAGTCATCCTGGCCTGCTGTGTCGCACAGTTGGACGTTCAGCGGTTGGCCGTCAACATTCACAACCACTGAAACGAAGAATGTTATACCTCGGAATAAAGAGAGGGGGAAAGTACGTACCATTGTAATTGTCGAAAGCGGTTGGCACGTATTCCCCCGGGAAGCCGTTGGTTGAGTACGAGACCACCAGGCTGGTCTTGCCGACGGCGCCGTCGCCCACCAGGACCACCTTGATCCGTTTGTCGAGTGGCGTCGCTGCATCGTTTTGAGCTACGCTGGCGCCAGCAGCCGCCGCCGACGACGACGGCATCGCCGTGCTCGTCGTCGACTGCTGCTTCACCTGCATCTGCATGGTCTGCCCGCCCTTGAGTAGCGGCCTCGTCCAGTTGGTGTGCGAGGACGGCGGCATTGTCTCGCTCTTGATCTTGCCGCAGCCCCGGCCTTTCATGCGTAACCCTTTCAGACCGCCGACCTGGAGCAACGTCGCGTCGCGAAGCGGCGGCACGTCATGCCTCTCCTGGGAACAGGACGTCCCCACACCTGCTGCGATCCCACCTGGCGTGATGCAACGCGCGTCGCTGCCGCGATGCCGAGGAAACAATGGGAACTGGCGAGCCCGTGCTCGGTCGCGCAAAAAAAGGCCCGAATCACCTGCCGCGACGCGGAGCCACCTGTTACCTCGCGCCCTAGTGACGAAGTCGTTGTCCGCCATGTCAGCACCCCACCACTCTGTGTTTTGAAGTTGAAATCGTCCAGCAGATGAGAACCGGCGGTATGAGAAAGCTGGTCTCCCTCGTCAGGTATTCGCTCGGGTCACCGCATCACCGCTCTGACATAACCTCTCTCTCATGTCCATTTCAGACGGTCGCCGACGGGAGTAGTGAGGGAACATTCGACGAAGCCCAGCGGAAGATGCGTGTCCAGCGTCGCTGTGGGATCTGTGAAAAGTGCCGCATCTCGGATGTGGCGGTTGTACGTGCCGGTTGGAGTCGCCCTCTCGGCAGCTTTGGTCACGCAGTGGAGGTATTTGCATCAACACGGATATGCCGACGACAAGCCGGAATTGTTGAGTGACGTTATGGTAAGTGACGCGACATCGCTAATTAATCATACGATGCCCTAAAGATCTCTTTGTACAGGTAACGTGCTATTGTTGTTTACCTCTGAGAATAACCAGCAGGATAGGAGGTTGGCTGACCAGCATCAACTTACCAGTCGGTTTAAGACCAGCTATATATGGATTTTTTGCTGAAACATTTGGCGTTGAGGTGGATGAGGTGGAATCAGACTTGTCAACGTTTCCGAGTCTGGTCGAATTTTTCGTGAGGGCGCTTAAGAGCAATGCAAGACCGATTGCTCCAAATACAAATATGGTAACCATTTTATCGTGAATACTGAATCTTACATAAAGAAATAATACTTATCGTTGGATATCTGCTGTAGACTTCACCCGCGGACGGTGAAGTTCTTTACTTTGGGCCGGTGAATTCTTCCTGTGTGGAACAAGTCAAAGGAGTGACTTATGATCTCAGGTATTTTTTGGGCGATCCATCCGACCTCCCAATAAATCAAACTGTGAAAAGTACTGGGCAGAAGGACGATTATGTCAATGCGCTATTGAAGAATCCAGACAACAGGCTTTATCAGTTGATCATTTACTTGGCGCCCGGTGATTACCACCGATTTCACAGCCCAACCGATTGGAATATAACATTCCGACGGCATTTCCGAGGTAGGTCTCTTCTCACTTAACTCCTAATTCATTAATATTCCACTACAAATACCATAATCCAAATTCATTTTTATCGATTTTATCGATTAAAGAGTTCAAAATATGACGGTTCTATCCTGATAGCAACTTCTGAGAAATTGCTAAAAAGTTGTCTGAATGTTCTTCAGGGAAACTATTAAGCGTTAATCCAAAGTTGCTCAAGTACATGCCGAATCTATTCTCGTTGAACGAACGTGTCGTATACATCGGGGATTGGGCGGCCGGCTTTATGGCTTATGCAGCGATCGGGGCGACGAATGTGGGCTCGATAAGAGTCTACCGCGATGAAGAATTGGCGACCAACAAGGCGCGATGGGCGGACGCCGCGTACTGGAGGGACGTGAGCTTCGACAGCATGCGCATGGCCAAGGGTGAACTGTTCGGCGAATTCAGGCTCGGTTCTACGATCGTGCTACTGTTCGAGGCGCCGCGAGACTTTCAGTTCTGCCTGCAAGTCGGCCAGTCCATCAAAGTCGGTCAGGCGTTGAGCGTGTGTTCCGATCACAAGGCCGAAAGACGACAAAAGCACCTTATCGTGAACATTGCACACAACTGGAAAGATATAGGGAAGCTTGATGAACACTAACATCAATGTTGTAATTTCCCAACTCAATGCGATATAACACGTGTGTTATGTAAAGTCTTACAATGAGAATTCAAGGCTCAGAGCACCTATTGTAGACCAACAGTTATATTGTTGAGCGGGAAATTGTAACATTAATGTTGGTTGGTCGCTTTTCCTGTCCTAATTCTAGCGAAAAATCAAAGACAGCACGCGAATTGTAGATAGAATAAAGGGCAGCTCTCGTGTGCGCTGCACGGAAACTTTTTTTTTTTCCAAGTATCGCAGTTACTATTGTACATAGCTCTTCTCGTGCGCGGGAAAATCATCATCGCCCCCTCCCTCATACGGTTTATCTGAAATTACATGTAAATACATCTCACGAAGTCATGTTCGCGCGAGAGTATCACGCGAAAGAGACGGTGATTTATAATAGGTTTGGCACAGTTAAACGTGCACTTATTATTACAGTGCATCTAGGTCCCTACACGGCGAACGAACTCTTGCGAGTACGTATGTAAAGCCTCACGTAATTACAGGGGAAAAATATATGGGACCAGCCGGTGCGTGAGAACAATATTTCCTTCGACTTCTTGTACGTCGTTACCGATAGAGGTCGGATTTTTCTTGTTTGCGCGGCAAATCGATCTTTCTAGTTAGTAAGTAGTCGGCCGGTCAAGGCCACCAGATGAAACACTTTCCTCAATTAAAGCTCTAGCTGCTTTTTCAAACCAGAAAATAATAGCCGCGTCGTATATCTTGAAACCCCCTGTGCTCGTTACACAGCGAGAACATTTTCGCGATCTCTATCGTTAATACCAACGTTGTCGTTATGGAAAACCCGATGCCTCACTTATCTCGACGGGTAAATGTGATTTAAGTGCCGATAACCAGATTTAATCATAATGTGAATATTCGATCGCGCAGATTATATTTTACGGTGTATACGCGTGGAATAATAAAAAACCGTATTTCTACGTAATGCTAAATCATAATAATAGTAACGATCGATCCGGACAAATTGATTCCGTCACGTTGCCTCCTCGTTCTATATTTCGTTAGTCGCTGCGATTCAATTCCGTACCTTCGATGATTTTACCGTCAATTACCCTCATTCACAGTGTTACCGGAGACAGCATACAATATATGAAAAAAATAGGGATGCTAAATATTTTCTAAATATTCAAATGTTGGAAAAATTCGGGAGTATTTGAGAAGATTGTGATAAATATTCAAAAATACACACAAAGATTATTAATTATATAAATATTCCTCATAAATATTTTTGAATATGTATTTTTCTTCTATCTGACTTTCCCGGACATATGAATATTCACAAAATACTTAATATCCATATTTTTTAAATATTTCACAGATATCGTGTGCTGTCTTGTTCTAACCGAGAACTTTGATAACTTTCCTCGTTCTAGAAAGCCTCTTCTCTATCCGACCGTCCACCACGTGAGCCATTAAAAACATTTTCGCGTACATAGTATAGTCTTCGAGCTAGCGCAAAAGCGACGTAATCGATGATACGCTTAACAAAAAAAAGTTGTTATCTCTCATATATTCGACGTCACTTTTTTTCTTGATTTATTGCGAAAAAGTTAATTCTGCGTTTCTGCAGGAACATCCCTGCAGATTATGCAACATTCCGATCCGCCTTCCTCACGAATACCTCCGCGCCAATTTAGACTTGTTTATCCTGAAAGCACATTTTCACGTCAAACATAAATTGATCTTCCTCGTGAATCTGCTGATCTCTCCCGCTTATAAATCTCGTCCGAATTCCGCTGTAATAATATCATCGTACGCGCATACACCGTGTGTTCGTCCTCATCACGTCGGGGGATTTGTCGATCCGCGAGGAAGATAGATCCACGGGAAAAGGGAGGAAGGAAGGAAGTAAGGAAGTAAGTCAGTCTATACGGTGGAAAAGAAGCCGGTCGGCGCGAACGTCAGTGAGCGTCACGACGCGCAGGCAGGTTGCACCGCGCCTCCTCGTCGCCTTGCTGACCGCGATAGTACGTACTCGCCGATGCGTCGGGGAGGACGTCGCGACACCCCGGTGGTGGTACACGCTCGCGAGTGCACGACTTTCTCTCTCTCTCTCTCTCTCAGTGGATCATGGGGCTGAACGCCGGCTAAATGGGGGCCGATGGACATTTTCGCGTGACCTTGTCCCTCAGGAGGGAACCGGGCGCTGGGCCGGTCTACTGCAAGATGGAGACCTCAGCCAGGTTCCGACAGCTGAAAACAGTGAAGCTAAGCTGCGAGACGACCTACCGGCTCGACATCAGCTTCAAGCCGCCGCAACTGCTGCAGTGGGTACAGTGAATGTGCGATCACACGTGTATTCCAGTTCTGGTTTCATTAGTCTTTCGGTCTACAATAGAGAAATTGTTCAATTACAGTCGAATTATAGAAGAAAAATCAATTATGATTGGTCAATTTCTTAGACCCCGCTTCATTCGCCCGCTCGTTCGTTTTTCCGGCCGAGATTTCCAGGAAGAGGGGGGCCGTCACGTAATTTCACGATGAAAGAATGGATTGGAATTAAGAATAAACGACTATGTAGTAACATTATGATAATGTTATCATTTTCCATTTAACAATATAACTGTTACATACAATGCGTATTATATCGCATTTAAATTGTTGAATAAGAAATTATAACATTGATGTAATGTTACCGTTAGTTGGTGATTTCTCGATATATCTTTAAGATTAAAATTGCACGTTTAGTTTCTACTGCAGATTTCGATACGTTTTGGAAGATTTTCGCAGACTGGTAAAAGTGTATCGTCTAAACTTCGATATGCGCAACGTATCTTGAATCACACGGTGAAACGTGAACATCGATGCCTCTCAAGTATTCTAACGAAATCCTCATCTAACTTAGGGATAGAGATTCGCGCACAAGTTTTATCAAAATAGGCGTCGCGGATTGAAATCACAAAAGGTCGGTCGACTCCGTGTGCAATCTACTCCCGAATTGAATTATTCAATTTTTTCCAAATATTCGTCTAAGCAGAAAGGAACGTTATCCGACTTCTCGGGGGCCCGTAAATTCCATCACGTCAAATTCCCACTCGACCGGTAGCGGTTTATCAGAAATTTATACGATCATCTTCGGCGCAAGGTGAAGCGTGGAGCCGCCGATAAATTTCAGCGTCGAGAGCTCTACTATACTCCAGGGACGAGGAATACGACTTCTCGCTATATATATGTTCGGATATAGAATCGCTAATAATGCCAACTTAACCGTAATACTGAAAATAAGCCCGAATGAAACTTTTACCGTGGCGAGTACTCGAGGAAAGAATTGAAAGAAATATCTCTCTTCTGTTGCGCGTACGGCTGTTTCTACCATCATGGTTTCGATCAAATCGATATGTAATTCAACGTATTGAATTTGTGTCAATCGGGCAAGCATCAGTGCGATCGGTCAATTCTATCGGGTTAATCGTCGATTTGATTTCAACCATGATGGTAGAAACGGGCATATGTCCGCAAGATTCCCCTCCAATTCAATTCCCAGTCCGCCAAATGTCGGATTCAGAGATGATGTAATTAAAGAAATGTGATGCTCATCGGACAGCTTTCACCGACACAAATGAAATTAACATTTCTCGGGATATACGACGATAAGGTATCTCTCGGTTGGTGTACAGGTAGAACGGGTGATTCTGAGCAAAAAAATTTTCTTTCCCCCGTACGTTTATTAGCTCAGACAAAATAATTAATTCCTCACTAACTATTGCGAATTTTGCAAAATGGCACTTTTCTGTTTCACCCGCACATCACGAGGACATGTACTTTCGAGATATCATTGATTCTTTTAGGAATTTACATCTCTCGATACCTATCTATCTATCTGGAGAGTTTCAATCAATTTCTAAGAGGATCAACCTTGCGCGAAAATTCGATTGTATCGCGGAAATTTCTCTCGAATTGAAGACCCACGAAACTCACGGCACCGTGACGAGTCCCCAAGCGCGCCGAGAGTTTAAAGGATTAATACGAGCGAGAGCGGCGGAAAGTTGGGGCGCGTTAAAATCGAATAAGCGCGAACAACGGCGCTGAGGGGGAAGGCTGATTTATACGGGCCGCAATTAACCGGCCGAAGATCAAAGTCGCTCGAAAACGGCTTTGTAGAACGAGATGTGTTACGTTATACGCGATATTCTGTTGCGAGATAAATAGCGACCGACCCGTGTCAGCCAGGTGCGATGACGACGAGCCGAACGCCTTGAACTGCTCCCGTCCCGGAGGATCGATCGTGATTTTACACATTGCACCTTTGCACGTGCAGCATTAACGATTGGTCGATGTTACAAGCAACCCTGTGCGAAATGTTTGCAAACAGCCGTTTGATTTATACGGACCGAAATAACACAAACGCGCGCTGTGTGTTCAGCTAATTACTATTACAATACGGAGAGAAGTTTCAGTTCGTGTAACTAAATTGACTGCAACTCGTTGACGGGAAAAATGATATTTCCGTTGCCGTCAAAACGCATAATCTCCGCGTTGTCAGTCGGAATGACTAACGATTCGTATCAATCAGCATCGCGGAAAAGGGACTTCAATGCTTCGATAGAGAGAGAGAGAGAGAGAGAAAGAGAGCTCTCTTCACGTAGAGAAAGAGATTTCTTTGGGTTAACGTTTTTCTTTGATTGAAACAAATTCTTCTTTTGCAATAGAGCAAACAAATGAATGTTTAATTCAACAAACAAGATTGTTTGGTTTTTCAAACAATAAATATAAATCGGATAATATATTTCTTTTGTATTTTCATCTGAACATTACATTGGTAGTCACAAGCAATAAACTATTTGGCAGAAGCAATACTATGTTAGAAAAATATTAAAGAACTTCTTTATTTCAGTAGAACAATATTTAATATATAAGAAAATAATTTTTTTAAATTAAAAACGAAATGTTGTTCCCTCTAAATAATATTGTTATTTTTTTCTACCAAACAGTATGGTTCACTCTATTGAAACAACAAAATTTCCATTCGAACAAAATAAAATTTAATATTGAATTATGTTGTTTAGGTTAAATAAACCCAAGTCAAACAAACATGTACATTAAATCCGAAAAAAATTAGTCATGACGCATGAATATTCGCACATAATGCCCCTGATTGGAAACTTCCGATTAACCGTGCCATAGGGAACGAGACAACGTTAACAAAGTCTTCTACACGACAGAGGACTGAAGGGGCTCATCGAAGATATGCTTTTTCTCTATGTAGAGAAGGATAATATTATTTATTCTGAATCCAGCCTTTGAGTTTAGCCTTGCGGCTTTGGATGGCTTCCAGTTTGTACATATATTTGTCTATTCTTTTACATCATATACTATTTCTTTTTTTCCCTGTTCTTGAGCTATTTATTCTCATTACCTAGCAACCCTAAGTTTACATACAAATTCTAATCTAACTCGTTTCCATAAAAAAAAAAAAACTAAATAAAAATTTATAACTGAAACTTAAAAACTAAAAGCTAAAAACTAAATACAGAATTCTGAATATTTTCACTACTAAACAACCAAACAAATAAAACTGAAAACTACAATTGGAAACTAAACTACAAGTTATAATTTCAAATATTATATTTATTCAAATAGCCAAACGACGCTGGAGGATTGACGATAATCATTTAGCTATCTGGGTAAGCTTTAAACTAAGAGTCTTCAAAGTAATTATTTGTCTTTTCCTTAGAGGGATAATACATAATGTTTACACACACATATACCGACGACGGGTCGTCTTATCAGAAGAACTGAGATGCGATAAATTCCTCTTTTCTTTCTTGAAGGTATACCAGGTGTAGAAGTATGAAACCGGAATTTTTTTGTAAAAATTACACGTCTGTTGTTTGAAAATGATAAAAAATATTTTATTCAAAATAATTGCTATTTATACATTTTTCCCACCTCTCCGGCAGTTTATGAATGCCACGCCAAAAAAACATTTCTTCTTTTGAAGCGAACCAGCTATCGAGCCATTTTCGTACATTTTCATACGAATTGCAGCGTTGTTCAGCGAGAGCGTGTCCCATTGATGCGAATAGATGATAATCGGACCAAGTCTGGAGAATAAGTCGCATGCGTTAGTATTTCCCAACTAAACGCCTCGATGGTTTCCCTGACCCGTTTTGCTGTGTGTGATGGGGCATCATCATGGAGCAAAATGATTTTGTGTTGCCTTTTCCATATTCCGGTCGTTTTTCACGCAATGCTCTATTTAAATCGATCATTTACTGTTGGTAGCGATCAGTGTTAACGGTTTCACCAGATTTTAGCAGCTCATAATAGATTACACTCTTCTGATTCCACCAAACATAGAGCATTGTCTTCTTTCCAAAGCGATTTGGTCTTGCAGTGGATGTCGATGGTTCGCCTGGATTCACCCATGATTTCTGACGCTTAGGATTTTCAAAATATATACATTTTTCATCACCTGTCGTGATACGATGGACTTTCTTTTGTATCTGTCGAGCAGCATTTCACAAGTGGTTTTTCGATTTTCTTGCTGTCTTTCATTCAGTTCATGCGGAACCCATTTTCCAACTTTCTGAATCTTTCTCATGGCTTTCAAACGAATTGAGACAGCTTTCTGCGTCACATTCAATTCATCCGCGAGTTCTTGTTGAATTTGAGTATCATCTTCATCCAATAAGGCTTGCAATTCGTTGTCTGCGAACTTTTTCGGTGGTTTCCCACGCTCTTCGTTTCTCACGTCAAAATCACCACTTTTGAATTTTTTGAACCATTCGGAACATTGTATTTTACCAAGAGCATGTTCACCGTAAGCTTCGACAAGCATTCGATGCGATTCTGCAGCAGTTTTCTTCAAATGATAACAAAAAACCAGTGCTGTCCGCAAATCGTAGTTCGTAGGCATAAAACTCGACATGTTTAACACTTTCACAACCGCATGTTAGCGCAGTGAAACGTCGCCAGTGGCCGGCAATATTTTGGAAGAAAAAACTTTACGTAAATTCATGAAACAATTAACATTATTATGACGTGACAAAAGAAAAGTTTTGCAAGTGGCTTGCCACTGGTACCATGTGGGAGTCACCGGCAAATAGCGACTGGCCTATCAATGGTACCACGTGAGTGTCACCGGCAAATAACGACTGGCCTACCAATGACACCACATAAGTGTCACCGGCATACAACGACTGGCCTGCCCATGACACCACATTGGTGTCAGCGGTTGTGAAAATGTTAAGGTTATAGAAAAATATACCGGTGTGTGGAACTTGGGTTGTTGTATGTTGAAAATCTGCGTCAGTTGTTAGAGGGAGATGATGGCGCTGCAGAAGCGGTCTTACGGTCCCTAAACTGATGGCTAGCACCATCTATAAGGAAATTCCAGTTTCATACTTCTACACCTGGTATATACGTACGACGCGATCGGCCCATAATGTGTCGTCGGACACGGATAAATTCAATCATATCGACTTCAGTTATTGCGATATCCATAACACGAGCGCCGATAAATATTGTATTAAGAATAATCGCCGCAATTGCGGAACCAGTAGCAATTACGTTGCCGTGCGGATGATGATACGCGATCGTGCAGAATGATCCGAAGAGAATGTCAAGGGCCACCGAGGGAGCTGATTGACTGGCCTTGTTTTCGACCGCGTAATCTCCGTCAATTAAGATATCGTTTGTACCGATTCACGTGGTGTTTCGTACGAACAATTTGGGCCTCGAAGTCGGAAGCAAACGCGGAGTTGGCGTGCGCAAACCGGAAGAGAATGAAATTTCTGACATGAATGCAGGCACACATACACACAATAGGCGGATTAAAGATTGCAATATCCTTTGTTTGATGAGTTCGCAACGCATCTCGTGTCCAATAGGGAAATGTATATCCTATGAAAAACAATCTCGGATGAATCTCGTAGCAATTAGAAGCAATTAGAATTGAAATCAGAGTACAGTCGACGTCATGTACCGTTTTCTAGATAAAAAATTTACATACAAAACCGATAGAACGATAATCTCAACATCATGATTAGATTTATTTACGCGATTTTCAAACTTTTGGGAGATATATAAAGCTGAAAATCGTGTAATTTTCTGACTGGGAAATGATATAGCATACATGACGACGACTGTACACACACAGTCGGCAGATTAAAGGCTGTAATACTTCTTTCCGATGAGCTTTGCAACGTATCCCGTGTCCAATAAGAGGATTAATTTTTTAGTTATTCTTAAGAGATATATCTTACTATTGGATACGACATATGTTACGAAATTCATCGAAAAAGAAATATTGCAACTAAGTTCGCATGTTTTCACGCTGAAAGTTCCTGCAATATACCATTTCCTATGTCGTTCAACCTTACACACAAGGTCAAAATCGGTATGTAATTAGACCCATATAATCCTACTTTTATAATTACAATTCTTTATGTGATTTTCAAGCTTATGGATTATGTATAAATCAGAAAATCGTGTAACTTCTCATCCAGGGAATGACTGCACGATACTGAAGGGCTCTCCCGTTTTCCACTCGAACAGCAGGATAATCGAAGAAAATTGCGCGACAAAATGAGTGCGTGGTTCAACGGGATGATTAATAGGCGAATGGCTGCGATTATGCACCGATTTCCACGCGTTGAGCTCGAAATCGAATATGCAAATAACGGGGATAAACGTAGCATAGTAATCTAGCCACAATCACAAGGCGAAGTGTCCGGGGTGATCTTCGAAAAGTCACGAAGATTCGCGTGCCGCAGTGCTTTGGTCGCGCGCGGCAGAAATAGAGCAGTTTAGCATTGTCATTTTTGGACAACGGAAAAGCCCGTGAAAATCTCAGGACCGCGCCCGTTATCGCCAAAATCTCGTGGAATTTTAAGCAGCTGCGGATTACTGGTACGAATCACGCGATGTACTTATTGCATGGCCTGCTTTTCGATTTTAGCCGCGAACACGATCCCCGCCGGCGGGCGAGAACGTGAACTCCTTTCTTTCTCCTCGTGTCGCTTTAATACATTGCCAACCGATCGGGCGGATCCACCCTTTCGATTGTTGTTGATTGACCAAAACTTTTGATGCGTGTGACTCCCCAGCGAAAAATTATTTTTATTTTCAGAATTTATTCTATTGACTTTTATATAGTAGAAAATGTTGTGTTAAATTTAACATATTTCACATGTCTCAAATTCTTGTTTTATCGCACAGTAAGACATTTTGTGTTAAAATCGGTCCACTAAAATTTTGTGAACACGGGAAATGTGTAAAAAGTACACAGTGATATAATGACGCAACATACATGACGACATAAGATGAACGTGTTGATTTAACATTAAAAGCAACGCAAAATTTCACCATTTTTGACACAAAATCGTCTACCGTGCGCGCGAAATGTATAATTCTCAATACCTGGTTGGAGGCGCGGCGATGTATTAAAAGCCAACGGTTAATTTGTCGGGATTCCCGTGGACTGTATCCCCCCGGGAAAGTACGCGACGTACCGCACATGACAAACTTATCGCAATAACGTCGGAAAGAGTTCTTGTTTTCCCTCTGTTATAGTATTCCACGCAGATATAAGGAGGACTGTGAACAAACCGTCGCAAGCTTATGATGTTGCTAGCCGCCCGGCGTTGCATTTTTTACGAACGATGATGCTATATCGACCCCTCAGCGCCGCGTCTACCCTCCCCCGCCTCTTATTTCGGGAGACACTCGTCGTGCATACTTTAACTGTCAAACCTGACAGATATATTCTGCGAGATGCATCGCTCATTTGCACATGCAGGACTTCATCTTTTCCTCTTGACCTCCTGGCCAAAAGAATTTCTTTCATTGAGCTCGGATCTATATTTTTAAAGTTTCTGAAGGCTTTTCCCTCATTTTTCCGCGGATTTCTTCGTTGTCTGTCCACAAATTCATGTAAAACCTCTCACATTTACTTTCTTCCATAAAGAAGAAAGCACAAAAAGAAAAAAATTCGCGGAAAAATGAGGAGAAGAACGATTATTTCCGAACCACAACCGTGTAAATTTCTAGCCCCGCTCCTTTTTTCCTCTGAAGGAAAACAAACTCTCTTTCTTGGACATGTCTCGGTAGTTCAATTTCAAATATTATATATAAGCGAATCCATATCTTCGATGAGCCCCTTCAGTCCTCTGTCGTGTAGAAGACTGACTTTGTTAACGTTGTCTCGTTCCCTATGGCACGGTGTAATCGGAAGTTTCCAATCAGGGGCATTATGTGCGAATATTCATGCGTCATGACTAATTTGATGAATCGGCAACGAAGTCACGATGACCCAACGTAACGTAACATCATATAATTTTTCACTCAATAACATGCAACTATAATATTGATGTTGCGCGCGTTCACTGGGAAGTATTCAAAAATAATGCGCCTAATTGGAAATGTTACCATGCTTAGGAAATGGGACGGCATTAATGGAGCCCTCTGTATGAGCAACATCAGGCCCATAATGAAGCATGTTGAGTTTCGTCTCAGCTATTCCGGAATTTTATATCGTGTACCCGCTGAAACTTGTGCACGTCCCGTTTCGCGGAGATTCCTGACGGGTCATCGAAATAACCGAACGAGATAAAAAGCCGATACACGCGACCGATACGTCAGCACAGGTCGTTTGCACGCACCTTGGTCGCGAAAACTCTAAAAATAAACGCTGGTTGAGCGTGAGGTACGCTCGTGTCCAGAAGGTTTTCCATTCCAAAGATATATGTCGATCGACGTGTCCGAGAATATAAGCGAGCTGAGAGGGACTGACGATCCAAAAACCTTCCCTGAGCGTAGAGACGCCCCATGTAGGACGGAAAATCATGATGACTATAGTAATTCACTTTTCGAACATGATCACTTTCTCATCCTTTTGACATTATTGTGACGTTATTCTGTTCTACCTGGACGATACAGCCGTTACCTCGTCGCGCTAACCTACAGAAAACAATAATGAGAATCATATTAAGAAAAGCGGTTACTCAATTTAATTTTCTCCTTTTAAGTAATCTGTCGGCACGGAAAAAAGATTCAAGTAAATAATTATTATAATATTGCTTGGCAAATTTGCACTAGGATCGAATAATATTTTCAAGTAAAATATATTTCACATTTCTCAACAACAAGACGTTATATCCGCCCTCTTTATTTTTAAGCGCTATTAACGCCATTTTTGCGACAGATTGACTTATAGGAATGCTGCCGTGCGTTTATCTTGACGTTACGCCAAGCATAGGAAAACTATTACCAAAGTACACACACGTGGCGGTGATTGTGCGATGGAAAACATCTATTTTCGCTTGTAAAGAGAAAAACTCCGCCGTTTCGGAAGAGACAACGGATTCTCCTAGGCGCGAATCCAGGGAATTCGCTTCGCGATGGAATAAGCGATGTAAGATCGAAAATGAGTCGTAGTTTCTATCGTGAAGGAGAACATTTATATGTGTATAAAATATTAGCATGAGGATGCACAATAAGCGGCAACTTTTTCTTCATATTCGTCGCGCGAGGTCGCGCACTTAATAAAAGCGCACGCTTTAAAACAGACGTAGAAACTTTAATCGATTCGTATCTTTCAGCTGAGTGACTTGCTATTTTATTACGATAAGAACGGTATGAAAGAAATCCCCGGTACATTCGGCGAAAGGAAAAAAACAGCATTTTAATATATAACTCTTCGCGTATACAAGCGTGGTTCGGCAAGTTGATTCGGAGGAAAAAGAAGAAACGCGGATATTATGTTATTGTTCTGTATCCTAAAAGTAGCGGGCTTCCTCCAGGTCCCTGAGCATCGGCGGCAAGCCGGTGGAGGCGATCGAGCGGGCGAGGGACGGCACGGCGTGCGCGTACAGCGCCTACCACAGCACGAAGGACATCGTGGCGAGCGCGCGCGGCCATCGGGAGGACCTGCCGATCGCGATGCGTGTGCTCGGCTCCGGCTACCTGACCACGTGCCTGCAGATCAAGTACTACCGGCTGGACGATCAGAGTCACTGCGAGTGGGGCGCCCGGCTGCACTGCATCGAGCTCGACTGCTCCAGCGTTGAGGGCCGCTTGGTCACGGTGGACCGGGAGACCTACAGGAAGCTCGGCATAGAGTCTTAGCGAACCGTCCCGTCGCGCGCGCCGTATCGGAATTACCACGCGGAGAAAGCTTGCGCGAGCTCTTAAGCTGTGTCATCGATTCGGTCGAACGAGGGATCGATAGTACTTGGCGATTTTTAGTCTCGGTCTACAACAGGTGAACTCTAAGAGAAATTGACCAATCACAATCGAATCAATTGTGTTTGGTATTTCAATTTCTTAAATTCTTATTGTAGACCCCGCTTAAGTGTCGGCCCACAATTTGGAGCCTTAAGAAATTGATCAGTCAAAGAGTGAAGAGAATAATTAACTGTAATTGGTCAATTTCTTAAAGCTTGAAATTGTGGACCGATGTAGCTCTACGTTTCACGGCGTTTCTTTATTAATGCGGATCGGTCGTAAGTTCATCCCGCCAGCGTGTAGTCGTCGCAGGTGAGAATTTTACAACTTGATGTCCACCTTTTTCACGAGTTCATGTTAAGCTAAATGTAAGTGCTGAGAGAGAACAAACTTTGCAAATGTGCACAGATTATAACGAATCCGAGCGTTTCGTTTGTTCGCAAGCTGGTTTATCAAAGAAAATTTCTGCGTGTTTAGACGATATATTCATTCGCATATTCACTCGCGTAGGATATTCCCCCGACGCGAACGGAGCTAATTCATTCGTGGCTGGCTTCGTTTTCGACACTTTCGGTATTATCGCTCTGAATGAAAATACTCGAGCGAGAGAAATTTGTCGACGATGCACAGGACAAGAAGAATCGTACACATTCGTCGTGAAAATTCCGTCTAATTCCGGTGTTTTCGGCCGGTATTCCCCGGTCGAGAGGCCGCGCTAAGAATTAACAAAGGAAAAACGAACACATCGATAACAAGGTGCCTATGTAACGCGCGCGCGTGTCATCGATCGTCGATTAATATTTAATTGCCGGGCGAATCGATCGCGCAACGCACGATACGAATGAAATGCTGCTTCTCCTAATTGAAGAAACCGGGAAAGAAGTGTCCTCGCGTGACGGTGTCAGCTTTCGTTAGTTCGTTCATCGAATGCACTTTCGCGCGCATTATTAACCGCTGACTGCTACAGTAATGTCCCACTGACATGACCACAAAATGAGATTCAAGCTCATCCCCCCCCCCAATAATGATTTACTTTGCAAAAATATAATGCTTCCCTCCGGTAACTGTACATGTTTAATGACTTAATGAAAATTTCAGCCATTACAAAACATTTCACATACATTATAATAAGGAGGGACCAAATCCCACTTCAGTAGTACTTAACGCGCTTCGGTGTTAGTTCTCCTTATTTACAATGCAATCTATATGTTCGCACTTCCGAAGGTGTTCTCACAGCTTTCTCCGTTAACCGAAAGGTTTGAGGGGTCGGAGATAGTATGCACGAAGGAAAACGCGGGTAAATGAATTGTAGAAGCATTTTCAGATTTATTACGATAGGAACTCGAAGCACCTTAAACACTTGGAAACTTTGGCGCGAAGTGACCAATCAGTGCCTCTACGCTTATACTCTAAACGCACAGGTTGTTTCTCTCTCTCTTTACTCGTTCGAATGGATTTTAACGAAGCCGCCGTCGTTCGCGCACGGTATACACGCGTCCGACGATAACACAAGATGTATATCTGTATACTTTCTCTAACTGAAATAAAGAAGTGAAAGTCGCATTGATCTACGTTGCGGATTTCCGTAGAAACAAATCACAACGAATTAAAGTTGAAATCGCGAGAGAATCGATAACAATGCATATATTTTAGCGAAATACTGCGCAATTGTAAGAATAAATTTCGTCGCAAAAAGAAAAAAAAATTGAGAGCAATACACTCATTGATAAAAAAAAAAGACCTCCTCCTCGTTGTCCATCAAGATCCGTATAGAAATCTCGCGCTTCAAAAATCGAAGAAGAGAGATCTGTTATATAAAGTCTATCGCGTTGGATTCCAGCGTGTGGTGTATCTATAACCGCGGTGGCTCATACTGCAGTAACTTGCCGGCGATGTCCTTGTCGCGCAACTTTTCCACTTGCGTTCGCATCCGCATCGCCAATTTATTCGGGCGTTTGAGGTACATCGCTGAATGGTGCAGGGCGATCGCATACGGAATGGGACACCAAGTTTCCCTGACCACACCCCGGACCAGCGCAGTGATGTAACTCTCGATCAGAGACGCGTCCTCCTCCTCTGGATACAGATACTCCTTTAACGGCACCATCAACTTTTCCGGCGGCAGTCTCAAGTAGCGAAGCACGCCCGCGTGCTCCGACCACAGCAGTTTCCTGCAATTCATGAAAAGACAAATTATATGAAATATAACGGAGTTATCAATCTTAGCAGGAATGTTCGTTCTTAACCAAGTTGTCTAAATTATTAGCCTACCTGTAGTGCGCGTCATGCCGTTGCGCCACGGGTACCAGCAGAATCGTGGCGAAGCCGTCGTCGCCGTACGAACTCGAGCAGAAGTGCTCGCATATCGCCGTGAACAGATCGACAAAGGAGCTCAGTCCCGGCAGCTCCGTCCTGAAGTCCAATCTCGCGTGGTATCTCTTCAGCAGATCGGACAGAACGCTCGTTAGCAACAGGGACACATTCTTGTTCAAGTACACCGTGTCGCAGAGGTACACCAGTATCAGTCTACTGAATTTCAGAGTAGGCGACAATCCCTCCATGAGATCGGGCAAGACCAACGCTAGACTCAGCACCGTCACCACGTGCTTGGTATCTTCCAATCCGATGTTGTTCCTGCACTTGGTGTACGTGTTAACCAACGGCAGGAAGAGCCAGTCTTTGGGCATCGCCGCTTGACTCCAGTCTCCGTTCGGGCTGACGTAACTCTCGTAGAGCGAGGCCACGTCGCTGCATAGATTCACCGGAATGGCGGCGGCGGAGGTCAGATCCAGCTTGGCCAACTCGTTCGTAACTATCCCTAGGTTCACCCTCTCGTTGGACAGCGCGACTCGCAGGAGCTCCTTCACGTGACGGGTAGCGTCCGCGGGTAGAGCCGACACGAGTTTGATTGTGATCCTCCGCACGATTTGCGACGTTGCGTCGTCGAACGTGTCGTTCAGAAGGGACGCCGCTCTCACCATTGCCGTTAACAGGCACAGCTCCGATCTGCTGTACCACGATCTCTCGAAGCTCCACTCGGCGGTTTCCAGGTCCTGCACGTACTTGCGGAGGGACGGCTGCTCGAACATCGCGCGAATTTCCGTCAGGCGCGAGTCGTCGCGAAACTTGTTCAGCACCGTCGTCAAGAATGGTACGCACGAATTCAGAGACACGATCGGCAGCAGCTCTCCGTCCTCCGTCAGAACACCCAGACTCGGTAGACTGGAAGGCTCTCGATCGGTAGCCGGCTTGTGCTTGCACAGTAAATTCGAATTAGATCTGCAAACAAGAAACGACGCTCTCATCCTTTCCCTGTGCGAAATTGGCAAGCAATACTCACCGAAACGTCGAGAAAAGATTCGGATTGAATATCCACATGGTTCTGAATGCCGATGTCTCCCCGACCGCCGATAAAGTCTCCGCGATTAACTTCATAACGCCCCACTGAAATTGAGAAATGTACTCGTCACAGCATTAAGACGATCAATTAAGAAAACATCTTAGTTACATATTGTGCATAAAATCCAATATGTTTCATATGCGAGTAGATTTCAATTTAATATTGATTGAAATTTGTAGTTCAATTGATATAACAACTTACCGTCATGTTAGATACCACTGACAGCTGAGTACTCCATTTCGCTAACAAGATAGAGATGCTTGGTTTCAGTGTCCTTTCACGACTCGCCACGGCGATTAACGCAGCTGCGTATTCACATGCTAACTCGGACGCGCTTTGAATATCATGATTGCTCAGTAACAGCTGTAACTGCGACATAAGGGTCAACTGAGAGCCGGCGACACTGTCCAGCCCAACTTCGTAATGCAATAACAAACGCCAAAGTCGCAGGCTCTCGATGCTCAGATTTATGTCATCTTTCTTTCTGAAACGTTGAAAGATTTTCAATCAAATAATTTTGCGCTCTCAATTGAAAGACGAAATTTGAAATTGAGCATTTAACTCGGAATATCTTGACGAAAATTAACGACAACATTAACATAGCTAATATGGTTAAAAACTAGAGACTTCAAGCGCTTTAAAGTGCTTCTTAAATGATCTCGATAGCGTTATTATTGCGAAAGTTACAGCCTGTTGAATTTCACTTATATTTTGAAAGTACGAGTCATACTACTTGAGAAAGTACGTCTGACTCCATCACGAGCCCGGTTTCTCGTTAAGGAAAGTAGCGGAGATTCTGGAACCAAATTAGAGAATTAACGAGTTTAAACACGTTATTTAATTTCAGAAATAACGGACCTGATAATCCCGTAAACCCGTTAATTCTGTAATTTGGTTCCAGAATCTCCGCTACGAGTCGCCACTTTCCTTAACGAGAAACTGGGCTCGTGATGCGACTAAACAATCGAGTCAGACGTACTTTCTCAAGTAGCATGACTCAAGAGCTGGTCAGACGTACTTTCCAATATGTAATGAAATATAGGCGAAATTCAACAGGCTGTAACTTTCGCAATAACGATGCTATCGAGATCGTTTGAGAAGCACTTTAAAGTCTCTAGTTTTTAACCATATATTAATAGCCATAAAGTAAACTAACTGACCAACCAAAGTCGATTATTCTTGGACTGTAAGAGTCCAATTAGCTTACTGTTTGTATTTTACCGTACACTTCACGGCTATTGTCCAGACAGTCTTTAATATACACATAAACCAACTCACCCTGTTTCGCTGCTAATGTATGTCAGAATGATCTGGATAACTTTGAAGTTATTCAATTTTTGCGCGACGGGCTTCTTACCGTACGTAACGAGGACGCGACATAATTTAACGGCCTTGACCGCAGGGATTCCGTAAGCATTGCTTATCACGTCCTGCATCGCTGTGAAGAAACGAACTTCGAATGTAAGATATCAGAGAGATAAGAAATGATTATGAAGAGTTAAAATTTTAAATTGTACAATGTACCTAATCGATCCGTAGACAGTGGCATAAAACTGTGAATGATGGTGTTCAACAACTGCGGCGTGGATGAGATGTTCAACGCCGCAATGTGCGAATGTCTCGCAATGCGAATGAGTATCTCTAAGGCACTCGTCACCCCAATAGACGGTGGATGCATTTCACTCAATATATACCTGAAATTGTTACACCTCTGCGTTAGTTCTCAAGCGAGAATTAAGCACGTATTCAATCGTAAAGAATTATCAACGCATTCAAATCAAGATTAATTAAGTCAAGTTACAAATGCTTAATTAAGGCAGTTTTTTTTCTTGGTTTTTGGACTTAAACTGATGCAAAAATTGCGTTTTTCTATTCATTATAGAATAGAGAAATAATGTTTACATTATCATCAAGCTAAAGACTAAACCACAAGTTAATCAATTAAATGGAAAATCGGGCCCAAGAAATCGTGAGTGACGGTTAACAGTACCTGATTCTCAAAAGGAAGTCCGATCTCAGTAACGCAGCCACGGCGTCCAATTGCGCCAGCTCGTGATCTTTGAGACTACTCGTGTTCCTGTCCTCGAGCTGCGGCGTCAGGGTTGGTTCTGCGTAATCGTCGAGCCCGTACAGTCTGTCCAGGCACACCTCATCCGCTTCACTGCACAGGAAAGCTCGGAGCGTTTGCAACGCTGCCGTCACCACCGCCACAGACGTGTCGTCTAGAGAAAATCTCAGCAGCAACAGAATATTCTTCTGGCTGAGCGCGCTCAACGGTGCTGGATGCAGGGCCTTGTCGTACCAGCCTCTACGCGTCTTCTCCATGATATTGGACAGTGTAGTAAGGGCTGTACATCGTTGTTGCTGCGTGGAAGATCTGCTGAGCTGTAGCAACTCCTGCAGGGAATACCCAGGACGTTCAGGCTCTTCTCCGTGATGGTGGAGGCCTTTGTCGACGGTCAAGCTTTCGTCTTTGTACGGCAACAAGAGACCTGATAAAAGAACGACATGTGGAGTGCAACATTTGTACTTGTCTTTACGTTGTAAAATAGCACATGTTACTCACCATTAAAATCGAATCGTGCATTGTAGTATTCTTCCGGAGCCGACTCATCGTTCTTTCTCACGGACAAATCGTCCATCCATTTTAACTTTTCTGGTTCCGGGCTATCCATGTGGAGCCATCCTTTCTGTTTGCCTTCCTCTAATATGTTCTTAGATGACTTCGGTATGTCTACCAAACCTGACTCACAGTCCATTTTTGTATCGTCGTCATCCGAAGAAAGCTTTATATTCTTGTCTTTAGGTTCATTTGCATTCATTCTTGCATCATTCGTCGACAGATCACATTGCATTGTACCGTCCTGATTAAGCGACCTCTTTCCTGATTTCTTATTCTTATTTCTCAAAAAATGTATTATGCTGGGATCAAGAGTTTTCTCGAGATTCTTCTTTTCTTTCAATATCTCTGCTTTACTCATTTCAGCCAATTTCTCCAAATTTTCATTATGAACCTCAATGGCCATTTGATCATCATTTACAATACTAATCTGTTCCTTGTTATTACGTTCATTTCCTTGATTATTCACTGAATTATATCTTACAGGTGCCTTCATTGATGTTTTATGCCAGAATAAACTCTGATTACCATTAGTCTTCTAATTGAACAAAATATGATTAGCAAAAAGATAGCAAACAATATATATATATATATTTGAAAGATAAAATATATTTTTTTCCCGGTAGATATCATATTATCAGATTCAAAAGCTTTAGGACATCCCGTTTCACTTGCAATTAATTGTCATCAAATTTTTCATCTGGTATTTCTTCTTTACAATATTATCACAGAAAAATCTGAGAGCAGCCATGTTGATATTTTGCTACATCCACTTATTGAGCACTTAGCAACCTTCTGTGTCTAATTTTATGATATAAAAGAACATACCAATTGGATGCAAGGGCTTACTGAGTACTCAATGAGTAGTTATAGTAAGGAATGGCGCATTGATATATTTAAAAAGCAAAATATATTTTTTCCATAAATACCTTAACATCAACCCCATAAACTTGAGGAAATCCCATTTCACTTGCAAGGGAGACTCGACTGTTGTCAAACTTATACTTTTTGATCTGGTATGTTTTTTCTACAATATTACCAAGTATTATGTTCGACAGTTCAATAGGGATATTCTGTACTGCATCTGCCAGCTTCTGTTCCTCCATTTTTTGTTCAACAACAGGATGTATTATTCCTCCGCTGCTCTGTGAAGTAGAAACTATTTCTTGTTTCAGCCTACACCTCCTTAAATTGGAAAAATGCGATCTCCTTTTGCCCTCTTGCATTGCATTGCAAGAGGCACGTATATTATTTTCAATGTTTTTGGAAGAATTTTTCAAATTTATTATCTTCGCAAATGGTTGTTCTTTCGCCTTTAAAAATTCCTCTTGCTGCCGCAGAAGTTCATCTTCATCGTCGTTTGTTTTAGGTCTCTTCCACAAAGGTTCAGAAGCCATTTTAGGTTATCTTAATCCTTAGCAAAACTAATTTTATTCCATTGAATAAGAATTTGCAAACTAGTAGTCGCTACTTCTTTTTAAATTAATAGTTAAATTATGACGACAAATATTAAATATTATTTAATAAAAAGTAAATATTATTTAATAAAAAACCCTTACGCGAGAGGTTACACGACCCGATAACCATGCATGTAACACTACTATACAGCCAGTCGTCCCATGCAGCCTATAAGAGAGAGACGCCTCAGAAGGGAAGGAAGGGGTATGATGATATATGTATTTTGACCGTAGTGCGCAGACGCGGCGATCAGATGATTACATACACACGCTAAAATATATTTTATTTTTCTATTGGTGGATATGTCAATCCGCATTACGTTCAAAATACAAAATACAAAATACAAAAAGAGAGGAAAATACATATTCCCGCATCGTAGTTGAGAAACAAGACTTCTCTCTCTCTCTCTCACCATAGTGGTATTATATATATGGACGAGACTTGAAATAGGAAATCATAAAAATGAAGGAAATACTTCGCTGGCTCAGCTGATAAATTAATTTATTTATCTAGGCACGACGCTGGAACATACGGTATGTAGTTACGCGCACCGATCATCGCTGTCGTATGCTCTGAGCATAAATACATGAACGTCAATTACACGGAAAAGAAGAATCTCAAGAAATGTTTGAAATAATTTCATACGCATCATTCGCTCAATCATCCCGCTCTCAAATGGTTATTACATTTTCAACCCGTCAAATTTTACGCTATAATAAAGTAAAAAACAATTCTTGTTGTTTGATTGGCTGTCTCTATCTTGTCCTTGACCGATAGAGTCTATCTTCATTTTATTTGTTTAATTATAACGTCGTTTCAAATATAAATACCGTTCCTTTTTGTCGTTTCTTCAATTGTTCTTTTAATTATAAGTTACACCATTTATTACATTTATCGCATTTAATTTCTGTTCAAATTAATTACGTGTGTAATTTTTGTATTAACGATCTAATATGTCGATCTAATATCTTCTTCTACGATTAGAGGGACAAACGAAGGCCTTCACGACATTCGCTCTTGAAAATAACTCGGTAAAGCTCGAGAAACACACAAGGTCGAGTTATCGTTGTCTCGATTCCGTTTGTAATGTATTTTCGCATTGCTCTTACGGATCTCTTTACGACTCCGCAAATGTTAAATTAAATCCCTCGCCTATTCCTTTACTTGAAAAAATACAATTTCGCTTATGTACACACTTTGGAACAAGTGAATTGTGTTTTTATCATTTCTCTTACAAATATGTACAATCGGTATACTTATCGCGTACATTTGCACAAAGCCGTCACCACTTCTTTAATAATTGCGACAGAAATGAAAATGTTATCAATTCGCACGATAAGAGGCGAAGTAACATGCCTTCGATCATTTTTACTATATTCAGATATAATGTGTATTTTTTCATGTTTTTGTAAGATCGTTGTAGAAACAAATCAAAATTTTGCATTTCGCACGTATATATATATATATATATATATATGTATTTGTAAGTTTTATCATTTTGTTATCTTCTGGCAATGATATATGTAAAACGCTCATCTCATTCATGCTTTCTTCTTCCTTTCTTTTCTTTCTTCCTCCCCGAGAAAAAATGATTATATATGATTATATATAATGATTATATATAATTATATAAAATCACATATGAATTTTGCCCTTATATGTGCTTACATATATGATCATACATGTCTGCACGAAAAAAATGATGCTTTGTCATTTACTTAAATGTCGATATCATGTGCTGTCAGAAGCACAAGAAACATTTATTTCGGTTGTATTTACATATAATTTGTAAACAGTATTTTTTCGTTGTGGATATATATGATTATATATAGTCCATATACGGACAAATTTCATACATAATCTTTCTATTCCCGGGTCTCTTTCCCAAATATTGTTACAAACGCAAACGAGGACACGATGCGGCCGGCTTTCTTTTTTCTTCTTTTATTACAATCAGCAAATTCGCGCCTCGAGTGTATGTATGTATGTATATATATATATATATATATATATA